ACCCCTAATTTAATGAGGTTAGCTTCTTTGCTCTCTCAACTGGGCTACTCCAGCTGATTCTGCTGGTGGTTCTAAGTACCAGATTTAATGATGCTTTGCTTTCTATCTGTTGCTTCTGTCAGCAACCAACTATTTATTCTTTCACTCTGCTCTACTATATACGTGTTCACCCACTCAAATTGAAAGAACAACTAGCTGAGACTGTTCTCTGTCCCTCACAGAACAGTTGTGAAAACAGAATCCTTGACAGCGCCTCTGCGACACTTATTCTCTTGAAGAATCAGCAGTTGAAGTTGCCAAGAAGACCATCACTCTTGCTTGTATGAGTGAAGACATTCCCCTGAGATGCAAGCTTTCAGCAGTCAGCCATTTGGAAGTCTGGGTCGTCTATTTATAGCCACCCCTCCGCATCCTTGTCAGTCATGTTTTCGTGTTCCCTGTCTTCTTCCACACTCTTCACTTGTCTTGCTTTTCTCACTGCCTCATCTTCTGTCGTGTTATATGATACTGGTTAGCATCTGTGTTGATTTTCTTATCCAGTGGCAATATGTAGATGACTTCTGTGACCTTATTATTCTTTCAGCTGGATCTTTTTTATTATTATTAAAAATTTCTGCCTCCTCCTCGCCTCCCTTTTCCATCCCCTCCCCTCACTTCCCACGATCGCTCTCCCTTGTCATGTTCTGCTCTCAGATGCCAAGAAGGAAGTAGGTAAGTTAGGTCTCTAAGGCACAGAGTATATTCAAGCATACCATGGGAGATGGTGATATGGATTTGCACAAATGACTTTTTCCATGAGTGTTATGGTCAATTATTAGACACTTCAAATTAATTTTTACACCAAATGTGAGACTGTGGGTCAGGAATCTTCCTTTCCCTTTAAGTTGATTTGATTCCCTTATCAAAAAGAGGTTGGTGAGATGGCTCGGCTGTCAAGGTACATGTCACAGACATCTGGCAACCTGAGTTCCACCCCTAGAACACATGTAAAGGTAGAAGAAAGAACCAATTCCATGAATTTGTACTCTGACCAAATGCATGGGCATTCAACACATGCTATACATAGTACATGCATGTACATGCACCAGCACACAACACACACAACCCCAAAAGCAATTCCAAAACACTTTGATCATGTATGTTTGTTCTCAGGCATGTTTCCTGTTGCACCACGAATAGCTTTGGGATTGAGGCATGTGCATCCTCCAACTCTGTTTTCAAGCTTTGGCTCACTCAGGTCCTACTATTTTCACAGGGGATTTATATGCAGCTTGTTGACTTTTGCAAAGATTCCTTTTGTAATTATGCTCAGGACAGGTTTGAATATGCATATCAACAGGAAACATCATCATCTCAATTTTGGATCTTTTATTATAGGAAATACAATACTGAAATTAATTTTAAAAATGATTTGTAGTTTTACTATAGAAGTTTTATATAACTTCTGTTAAATTTATCGCTGTATATTCTATTGTAAATGAAAAACATAAATTTGCTTTCAAACTGTTTTCTGCTTGTGCATAAAGGTGCATGGAAACAAAGTTTGGTATCTTTTTTTAATAAAAAATAATTGTGTAACTTTGAGTGTATGTACGAGTATGTGTATATCTGTGTGAATGTGCACAAGGCATACTTTCTATATGTATGCCATAATATGGATTAAGACAAATATAAAGTACTTTTCTTAAAAATTGATGATGTGATTAGATGAAATTTCAAATACTTTAAAAGTTAAACTCCCTAAGTTTCCAAGAATAATAAGTGGTCATACAAAATGCTTTCAAATGAAGCTCTTTTTAATGTTATTGGTGTGGTTGATTATTTCCTTCTTGTTTTGTTAAGACAGAGTATTAGAAAACCAGGAGGTAACTGCTAAATTTTGCCTGCTACCAGTTTCTGCAACTAATATTTTGTTGAAACATGGGCATGCTCATTCCTTAATAAGTTAATCTATGATGGATTTCATTTTAAAATGCTGTTGTGGTATATATGGAAATGGCTGGCCTTCTGGACGTCAGAATCTAAGATATACAGATAAGTACCATCTATCCCTGCCTAGAATGCGTTAACTTTCTGTTGACTATATCTTAAACAAAAATACAAAGCATTCAGCTTAAATTTAAAGTGTTTCTTGTCAATGACGTTCTCCAAGCCCTAGGTGAACGAGTTGCTCTGCAGATGTACCTATTAGCATTGTGCATCATGTGGCCTGTGGAATTTGACCAGTTGTGGGTTTCTGTAATAGACTTTATTTGTTACTAAAAACAATAGTGCTTGATGAGGGATAAAGGTTACACACATCTGTGACAATAAGGATAAATCTTTAGAATTCAGATAGACTGGTTTAGGATAGTGACAGTAATAATCATTCCTCCAGAGTTCATAACTTCATAAACTATGGGTTATTGGCTTAATTTATATTACCAGGAAAGAATTACCTTCTATCGAGTGGGTGTTAAGTCCAAATAGATGCTGTTGATCTGCCATCCAGGATGCAAGTCTCACTATTGTATCATTGAGTGTATCATTCCAGCATGGTCATTGGTGTTTGTAACGGTGTAGGACCATTGATTGCTTTTCTCCACTGGTGGTTGGCATGATACCTATGGTATTATGAAAGTTATTTTTCATGGAGGAAGCTTTCATGTCAGTTTCAGCTTGATTTCGTTCAAATCATGTGTTCAAAGTGTGTGATGTCTTCAGCAATAGGGTCTTCAAGCTGACCTTCAAGTTCTAGGAGGCAGCCAAAGGCAATGACAATAGCCGTGATTGTTTGGGGAGTATCTTGGATTCTTTTGATCATCAACTGGAAGGGATCTTATGATAAAGATGAAAGATGTAAGATAGTGTCTTCTATATATGATTAGGAAGTTGTAGTCATAAGATTTCAAAAATATGTTCACCTAAACAAGAATTATATAATGACAATAGCAGTTGACATGGCAGCATAGATCAAGGAAACTTCGCAAGCCCTACCCTAACTGAAGAGTTACAGACAACTAATGACTATTGAGAGAAGGAAATAAATCTAATCCAGACAGAAGATTCCAGTAGATTATCTAATCCCAAATAGTCAATTCTAAATTCTCTCTCTCTCTCTCTCTCTCTCTCTCTCTCTCTCTCTCTCTCTCTCCCTCTCTTTCTCTGACATTCTACTCATTAATACAGTAAATACAGAAGTCATTGGAAGAAAATGTGTGTCAGTGAAATCAGAGGGTTGGAAAACGGGCTAAGCAGGTAAAGGTTTTGCTACCAAATCAGACAACCTGAGTTTTTCTTTTCTTTCTCTTTTTTTAAATTTTTTTTATTAATTTTTATTGAGCCCTACATTTTTCCCTGCTCCCCTCCCCGCCACTTTCCTCCCCTCAACCCTCTCCCAAGGTTCCCATGCTCCCAATTTACTGAATTTTATTTTGATATCTACATGGTAGAAGAAGATAATCAACTTTTGCAGGTTTTCCTTTGACTTTTATGCATATGCTATGGTGTGTTTGTGCATGTGTGTGTGTGTAATAAAATATAATAAAATTTTTAAAAAACAAGAAAAAATCATGTATGTCATCCATTGTGCCAGGAAACATGAAAAATGTGTGTGAAACCTTTCATGTGTATAGTCTAGTTTCAGCAATTTACCATGTGAATTTCTAGGGCTCTATGGTTGAGACTGGTATTGTTTACTATCAAGATAAATGCCAAAGTTTATGCTAGAAATTATAAATGCTATTTCCATCGATTTGCCTGCAAACTTCAAGAAGTCCTTGTTTTTTACTGCTGAGTAGTACTCTAATATGTATATATTCCATACTTTCTTCATCCATTCTTCAATTGAAGGGCATCTAGGTTGTTTCCAGGTTCTGGCTATTACAAACAATGCTGCTATGAACATAGTAGAGCATATACTTTTGTTGTATGATAAGGCCTCTCTTAGGTATATTCCCAAGAGTGATACTGCTGGGTCCAGGGGTAGGTTGATCCCAAATTTCCTGAGAAACATCCACACTGCTTTCTCAAGGTCCAAATCAGGAGCACCAGGAGAGAGAGCACAAGCAAGGAACTCAGGACCACGAGGGGTGCACCCACACACTGAGACAATGGGGATATTCTATCGGGAACTCACCAAGGCCAGCTGGCCTGGGTCTGAAAAAGCCTGGGTTAAAACCTGTCTCGCTGAACATAGCGGACAATGAGGACTACTGAGACTTCAAGAACAATGGCAATGGGTTTTTGATCCTACTGCACGTATTGGCTTTGTGGGAGCCTAGGCAGTTTGGATGCTCACTTCACTAGACCTGGATGGAGGTGGGTGGTCCTTGGTCTTCCCACAGGGCAGGAAACCCTGATTGCTCTTTGGGCTGACGAGGGAGGGGGACTTGATTGGGGGAGAGGGAGGGAAATGGGAGGCGGAGGTGGGGAAGAGATAGAAATCTTTAATAAATAAATAAATAAATAAATAAATAAATAAATAAGAAATTATAAATGCTACTTTTTATTTAACTAGAAAGGTATTAATTAGCAAATAAAGGGTGCCACAAGTAAACAGAAAAAAATTGAGATGAAGGAAATTTAAGTTTTATTACCTTTAACAAAAGTTTCTTTCTATTTTCCAAATAAGAACTATATCTTTATACATTGCACTGGACTCTGAATATCATGCATTTGAAGCTACTCCTGATGTCTGTATTCCCAGTTTAAACTTCTTTATAACTTCATGGAACATGACAGAACTGACCATCTTCTAAATTCTAACACATAAAATTGTGATGGAAAAAAATGAATCATCAAAAACATCTTTGAAATATTCAGCTGAGGTCTGACATAACTGTTAAGCAAGAGAAACCATATACATCCCTGATTCCCATGCAGAACAATATTTTACTTTTGTGATTATTTAGCCAAAAATTCTAGAGAAGAGTCCTGTATTAGTTCAAGTTCTCTAGACTACGGAACTTATAGAATAAATCTCTCTACATATAGAAAGAAGAGTTATTAGAATTACTTACAGATTGTGGTCTAGGTAAATCAACAATGGCTGGCTGTGAACAAAAAGTCCAAGAACTCAGTTCTTGCTCAGTTTACAAGATCGGATGTCTCAACTGGTCTTCAGTATATGCTGGAATCCTGAAGAAGTACACTCAAATGCCAATGGAGGAATGTACTTGCTAGCAAGGCAAGGGGTAAAAGCTTATTTCTTCCATATGTTTATATATGTTTCCAGGAGAAGGTATAGTTTCAATTAAAGGTGTGTCTTCCCACCTCAAGAACCAGATTAAAAACATATGTCTTCTAAACTCAAAGATTCAGATTAAAGGCATGCATCTTTCTACCTCAAAAAAAATACAGATTAGAACGGGATCTACATAATTCAAATAAGCAAAATCCCCCAAATATGCTTTCCATTTTTGAATTTTAGCTAATGTTTTCGATGAGGTCAAATCAAAATCCATGAATAGCTTTCATGAGTCCTATTACCAACTGTAAGAGTAATTTTTCCCTTGCTCTATCTAAAATATTTAACTATAGAGTTTGATGACTAAAGTAAAAGTTAGAAATAGCTTTGTTTGGTAAAGAGAAAATGATTAACATTAGACTTTTGGAGCCCTGGCTAGATCAAAATTCACTAATTTAGTAGACTTATTAACTTTTATTTCAGCAATGTAGTCAATGCAGAAGAGAATCATCCCTTTATGAAAAGAAAAATTGCCACTAAAATGTGAGCATGACATTAAGAAAGATCATGAATAGTATATAAGGAGGAAAATTGTCAAGAAAAAATTTATAAAGGAACACATAATCCAAGAATTCACCAAGAATCGGCATGAAATGCAAAACCCTGGACAAGAAATCTTAAACTAAGAAAGTTTAGTTTCAAAGGCTGATGGGATGGCTCAGTGCATAAAGTCACTGTTGCTCAAGCATGAAAGCCTCAGTAGATCCACAATATCCACAGAAAGACCACTGTGTAAAGCATATCACTCACAGCAGGGCTGGAAGAGTTCAGAAAGGCAGATTCCCCAGAGATGACTGGAGTATAGCTGGATTTTCAGTGGGAGACACAGTCTCAAAAAGAAAGGTAGAGAGTGACAGGAAGAAACATCCTGCAGCGGCTACTGAACTATGTATACATGCACAAGCATACACATAAGTGTGTACACATATGCCTGTGTGTACATGGTGTGGAAGTTCTTCTGTCTCTGTGTTGCTTTCTTTGGTTAATGAATAAATCTGTCTTGGAAAGTGGCTTAGCAGAATAGAGCGAGGTGGGAAAACTAAACTGAATTCAGGAAGAAAGAAGGCAGAGTTAGTGAGAAGCCATAGATCCACTGCCAGAGACAGAAGTGCTGAAACTTTGTGGGTAGGCCACAGGCTTCATGGTAAAATATAATAGTAGAAATGTGTTAGCTTAGGATATAAGAGTTAGCCAGAAATACACTTAAGTGATTGGCCAAGCAGTGATTTAAATAATATAGTTTCTATGTGGTTATTTCAAGTCTTAGCAGCCTGGAACAAACATGAAGCCTCCTTCAACAAATTGGTGCCCAACATGGGCCCCAAATCCATGGCCTTGAGATTAAACGTCTCATGCTCTAGGCCTCCCTAGACATGCACACACTCACAGGAACACACACACACAAACACAAACACACACATGTACACAAAGGTATCTCTGTTTAGATTCCTTAAGTAATTTATGATAAAACCTATTTCAAATAACAACTTTATAGACACAATGCAAATAGTTTTTTCAGTTATTGCTACAGAACAACTGTTGGTACTTTCTGAAGCACAATCTTACCTTCAACAGAACAATAAACATTTAGCAAACAACCTGATATGTGGAAAAGGACTCTTTAATGCCTTTACACACACACACACACACACACACACACACACACACACACACACATATATATATATTCTCCATATCATTGTTTTTATATAAGTTTAAAAGGGCTACTGGCTTGATGTTGTCTTGATTCAGGGATGGAACACAGGGCATACCTCAAGTCATGAATCTATACTACAGTATATACAAAGAAAACTTAGTAAAAGGGGGAAAATCAAAAGACTAAATTCCAGTCCGTCCTTTTAAAATTGTTCTTTCTAGATTCATAACCTATTGTTCTAAAGACAAAGTTTCATCTGTCAGATAATATTCCCTTTAAAATGCATATAATGTATCTCTCTCTCTCTTTCTCTCCGCCCGCCCCCACACACATACACACCAGCAAAATGCAACAGCAAATTGACCTAAGGAAGAACAGCATAAATAATGAAATGCAACCCACAGTTACTCAGCACCGGTGCCCTAGCAAGTGTTATGTTTTCCTTGAGTGCTTGGAGAGCATCACCTCGATTGTCCAGACGTATGCTCCCTAAATGAGAAGATCTAAATGTTTATTGCCTTTTAATTTTCTCAGTGGACTCTAGTCTTTTATAGAGGAATGTCTATAACCACTTATTTTACATTATACCAGAATCATTTCTTTCAGTCTCTAAAATTATTCTCAGTGTTTACAAGCATTTTAACATATTAAATTAGTGTCCTATAAAATTTCTTATCATGAAAACCAATTTTAAGGTTGACATAGCAGTTGGGTTTCTGCACATATGTGAAGCAGTTGAGTACCTATGTACTTGTACTCAGGTCTAGTTTCTGCATGTTTGTACAGATGTAGAGTATCTGCATTAAATTGAGCCCATGATTAATTATGATCATATTGAACTAACAACAATAGTGTTTCTACATATCTATACAGTAGTAGTCATATATAACTGCAAAGCAATAGCATCACTGAGTACACCCAGAGGAGTCAAGTCCTTTCATATGTACATATCAGTTGCATTTTGTCATGAATGTAAAACATTTGAGTTCTAGCATATATGCATGCAGAAGCATTCCTGTATATATGCTAACATCACATCAGCAGTCTTGATTCTTGATGCTAGTGTGTTACTACCCTCCTGCATGGACACACTTCAGCAACTTTGCTGCATACATGTGCAGCAGAAGTACCCCTCCCTGTATGTGCAGCAGGAGACTTCCTGCATAAATCCAGAATGGTAGCATCTCCACACATGTGTGTCATAGTCTTGTTCTTGTATTATGTGCAGCACCCGTCCTATATGTATGAGCAGCAGTATGTATGTATGTATGTATGTATGTATGTATGTATGTATGTATTTGCATGTGTGCACATCAGTAGCTTTCCTCTTTAACACATACATATGTGAAGCACTAAGAGCCCATGAATGTGGATGTGATTTCTGTAAGGAAATAAGACAACAATACATATCTTCTTGGCAACAATCTCCAGGCATTTTATAGCTCTCCCTTGCTCTCTGCCACTTCTAGAAGTATTTTTATTGAGTTTTCTTTCTCAATTTCTACGAAGTTTAAGGAAACTTATATTTAACTATCTCTTAATTCATAAGTAGCATGTAGAAAAGTGTAAAAAAAAAAACCTTAAAATCTTCTCTAACCTAGGAGTCTAGAAGTAATCTTCTCTGAATTGTGCTATGTATTGTTTCACTCAATCACTCCTGTTTTCTCTTCTTTCCTTCCCCATCCTCTTCTTTATCCTTTCCACCATCCAGTCAGTCTTGCCTGTCCATCCTTCTAAGTTTCTACTTAGTATACATTATGCTAGAACAGTGAGAACTCACTTGTATCTTCCAAGAGTCAATCACCAGCCAGCACATTTGACATCTTGTCCCTGGAGGCTCTTATTGCCCATGCAAATTAACTCATCTTGTCTCATCTCTTTCTTGCTTTTACTACCTCCATAAGCCTCTGCTTACATGGCTGCTTGTCGAAGTAAATTAAAATTGGTTTGTTTCAATATCTATCATCTCCTTCACACTGAGGATTCCTCCTCCTACCCCGCATACCCTTTAGGCAACATGTGATTGTTCAGTTGAACATACTGCATGTACTTTGAACCTTACTTAAGAACTCTTAGGTAACAAATATTCAATTTTGGTGAATAATATAATAAATTTTTCTCATTGATTGTAGGTTGAATCAGCAGTGATTCCTGGTTCTGGTTTCTCCTTTATCAAATACTTTTCTTATATAACCACACACAGAGAACAGAGGTAAAAGGAAATTTGAATATGCTGGCTTTTCGGGTGGGTATGTAAAGGCCATTTATAGGGGACACTCTGTCTCTACAGTCTTCCTTTCTCATTAATTTCTCTTGTCTATTTTCTTGTAGGCTTCCGCTCAGTTTTGACCTCAGCCTAGTGTATCTCTGTGCTGTTTACACTTGTATTTGTCTCCTTCTTGGGTAATGAGACACTGACCCTGCTTTAACCTCTAGCAGCTGCTGAATCATACCAATGGCTGATTCATGTATTTTGCTCAAATACTTGTGAACATTTAAGTATTGACTGTTTCTTGCTTAGATTAATCATTTGTATATTTGTTACAACCCCCTGGCTCTTAATATATGTATACAGTTTTAAGGCTCAGGACAGGACTGATCTACCCTAATTTGTTTATATTAGTTATTTTAGAGTGGAGACAAATAACTCCTAGATGGTATGTTTTCATGGAGACTGATGTGATAGACAATGAAGAAGACATTTTTTTCAAACAAAAGCATACTCATTATAAAACTCCAAAGCAATGGATACCATTATCTATGACACCAGGAATGTGCTGACAGCTGAACTGAGAAGTTCTGAGCATAGGACTAAGACTGAAATTTTCCCTAGTAATATTTATTGTGAAGGAATTTCTTGAAATAAGTGACAGCTCTAAATATTTATATTCCCCAAAGTAGACTATTGTGAGTTACAAGAGGAAATTTAACTTTGGAACAGAAATTATAAATACTTATTTATCAATAAGTAAATTGTTTTTCAATTATTAAAACAGTAAGGAATTCAATGGAGAAACTGGCTTTGACAAATGTCTCAAGGATAATTGAACATTCACAGGCATGAAAATGAACATTACATATTCTAATTTACTACAAAAATAGCAGAAAATTAAATTATGAACCAATTGTAAAAATGCAAAAATACATAGGTATTGGGTTGGAGGAGACGTCTTTATGACCTTAGGGCTGTATATAAAACATCAAGGATGATTTAAAAAGGAAAAAAATGATACAATCAATTTTATAAAACTAAAACACCCATTTCAGCTTCCTCATCATTCTATAACTATTTATTCTATTTCCATCTATCTGCCCACCCCAATCCCTTACACTGTATATAAATTCTCTGCTTCTATCAATTATAGTTTGGTTATTTACCTGGAGAGGAGAATAAAAGAAGAGAACAAGGGAGGGAATACAGGGAGAAAAGGTTAAAATTAAGGGCCATTTAAGGGATAGTATGGAAACCTAATACAGCATAGGCTTCTCAAAATATATATACATGTGATGGTGACATACATGAATTCTGCAAATAATGGGGGGAGACAGACAGAGTCCAAGTGGCTATCTCTTATCACTAAATGCCACTTCAAATACCAA